CCCATGCCCATGCCCCATGCCCCATGCCCCATGCCCATGCCCCATGCCCCATTGCCCCATGCCCCATGCCCCATTGCCCATGCCCCATGCCCATGCCCCATGCCCCATGCCCCATTGCCCCATGCCCCATTGCCCATGCCCCATGCCCCATGCCCCATGCCCCATTGCCCATGCCCCATGCCCCATGCCCCATGCCCCATGCCCCATTGCCCATGCCCCATGCCCCATGCCCCATGCCCCATTGCCCATGCCCCATGCCCCATTGCCCATGCCCATGCCCCATGCCCCATGCCCCATGCCCCATGCCCCATGCCCCATGCCCCATTGCCCATGCCCCATGCCCCATGCCCCATGCCCCATTGCCCATGCCCCATGCCCCATTGCCCATGCCCCATGCCCATGCCCCATGCCCCATTGCCCATGCCCCATGCCCCATGCCCCATGCCCCATTGCCCATGCCCCATGCCCCATTGCCCCATGCCCCATGCCCCATGCCCCATGCCCCATGCCCCATGCCCCATGCCCCATTGCCCATGCCCCATGCCCCATGCCCCATGCCCCATGCCCCATGCCCCATTGCCCATGCCCCATGCCCCATGCCCCATGCCCCATGCCCCATGCCCCATGCCCCATGCCCCATGCCCCATGCCCCATGCCCCATGCCCCATGCCCCATTGCCCCATGCCCCATGCCCCATGCCCCATGCCCCATGCCCATTGCCCATGCCCCATGCCCCATGCCCATGCCCCATGCCCATGCCCCATTGCCCATGCCCATGCCCCATGCCCCATGCCCCATGCCCCATTGCCCATGCCCCATGCCCCATGCCCCATGCCCCATTGCCCATGCCCCATGCCCCATGCCCCATGCCCCATTGCCCATGCCCCATGCCCCATGCCCCATGCCCCATGCCCCATGCCCCATGCCCCATGCCCCATGCCCCATGCCCCATGCCCCATGCCCCATGGCCCATGCCCCATGCCCCATTGCCCATGCCCCATGCCCCATTGCCCATGCCCCATGCCCCATGCCCCATTGCCCATGCCCCATGCCCCATGCCCCATGCCCCATTGCCCATGCCCCATGCCCCATGCCCCATTGCCCATGCCCCATGCCCCATGCCCCATGCCCCATGCCCCATTGCCCATGCCCCATGCCCCATGCCCCATTGCCCATGCCCCATGCCCCATTGCCCATGCCCCATGCCCCATGCCCCATGCCCCATGCCCCATGCCCCATGCCCCATGCCCCATGCCCCATGCCCCATGCCCCATGCCCCATTGCCCATGCCCCATGCCCCATGCCCCATTGCCCATGCCCCATGCCCCATGCCCCATGCCCCATGCCCCATGCCCCATTGCCCATGCCCCATGCCCCATGCCCCATGCCCCATTGCCCATGCCCCATGCCCCATGCCCCATGCCCCATTGCCCATGCCCCATGCCCCATTGCCCATGCCCCATGCCCCATGCCCCATGCCCCATGCCCCATGCCCCATGCCCCATTGCCCATGCCCCATGCCCCATGCCCCATGCCCCATGCCCCATGCCCATGCCCCATTGCCCATGCCCCATGCCCCATGCCCCATGCCCCATGCCCCATGCCCCATGCCCCATTCCCCATTGCCCATGCCCCATGCCCCATGCCCCATGCCCCATTGCCCCATGCCCCACGCCCCATTGCCCATGCCCCATGCCCCATGCCCCATGCCCCATGCCCCATGCCCCATTGCCCATGCCCCATGCCCATTGCCCATGCCCCATGCCCCATGCCCCATGCCCCATTGCCCATGCCCCATGCCCCATGCCCCATGCCCCATTGCCCATGCCCCATGCCCCATGCCCCATTGCCCATGCCCATGCCCCATGCCCCATGCCCCATTGCCCATGCCCCATGCCCCATGCCCCATGCCCCATTGCCCATGCCCCATGCCCCATTGCCATGCCCATGCCCCATGCCCCATGCCCCATGCCCCATGCCCCATGCCCCATGCCCCCCCATGCCCATGCCCCATGCCCCATGCCCCATGCCCATGCCCCATTGCCCATGCCCCATGCCCCATGCCCCATGCCCCATTGCCCATGCCCCATGCCCCATGCCCCATGCCCCATTGCCCATGCCCCATGCCCCATGCCCCATGCCCCATTGCCCATGCCCCATGCCCCATGCCCCATTGCCCATGCCCCATGCCCCATGCCCCATGCCCCATTGCCCATGCCCCATGCCCCATGCCCCATGCCCCATGCCCCATGCCCCATGCCCCATTGCCCATGCCCCATGCCCCATGCCCCATGCCCCATGCCCCATGCCCCATGCCCCATGCCCCATGCCCCATGCCCCATTGCCCATGCCCCATGCCCCATTGCCCATGCCCCATGCCCCATGCCCCATTGCCCCATGCCCCATGCCCCATGCCCCATGCCCCATTGCCCATGCCCCATGCCCCATGCCCCATTGCCCATGCCCCATGCCCCATGCCCCATGCCCCATTGCCCATGCCCCATGCCCCATGCCCCATGCCCCATTGCCCATGCCCCATGCCCCATGCCCCATTGCCCATGCCCCATGCCCCATGCCCATGCCCCATGCCCCATGCCCCATGCCCCATGCCATGCCCCATGCCCCATGCCCCATGCCCCATTGCCCATGCCCCATGCCCCATGCCCCATGCCCCATGCCCCATTGCCCATGCCCCATGCCCCATGCCCCATGCCCCATTGCCCATGCCCCATGCCCCATGCCCCATGCCCCATTGCCCATGCCCCATGCCCCATGCCCCATGCCCCATGCCCCATGCCCCATGCCCCATGCCCCATTGCCCATGCCCCATGCCCCATGCCCCATGCCCCATGCCCCATGCCCCATGCCCCATTGCCCATGCCCCATGCCCCATTGCCCATGCCCCATGCCCCATGCCCCATTGCCCATGCCCCATGCCCCATGCCCCATGCCCCATTGCCCATGCCCCATGCCCCATGCCCCATTGCCCATTGCCCATGCCCCATGCCCCATGCCCCATTGCCCCATTGCCCATGCCCCATGCCCCATGCCCCATGCCCCATTGCCCATGCCCCATGCCCCATTGCCCATGCCCCATGCCCCATGCCCCATGCCCCATGCCCATGCCCATGCCCCATGCCCCATGCCCCATGCCCCATGCCCCATTGCCCATGCCCCATGCCCCATGCCCATGCCCCATGCCCATGCCCCATTGCCCATGCCCCATGCCCCATGCCCCATGCCCCATGCCCCATGCCCCATTGCCCATGCCCCATGCCCCATGCCCCATGCCCCATTGCCCATGCCCCATGCCCCATGCCCCATGCCCCATTGCCCATGCCCCATGCCCCATTGCCCATGCCCCATGCCCCATGCCCCATGCCCCATGCCCCATGCCCCATGCCCCATTGCCCATGGCCCCATGCCCCATGCCCCATGCCCCATGCCCCATGCCCCATGCCCCATTGCCCATGCCCCATGCCCCATGCCCCATGCCCCATGCCCCATGCCCCATTCCCCATTGCCCATGCCCCATGCCCCATGCCCCATGCCCCATTGCCCATGCCCCACGCCCCATTGCCCATGCCCCATGCCCCATGCCCCATGCCCCATGCCCCATGCCCCATTGCCCATGCCCCATGCCCCATTGCCCATGCCCCATGCCCCATGCCCCATGCCCCATTGCCCATGCCCCATGCCCCATGCCCCATGCCCCATTGCCCATGCCCCATGCCCCATGCCCCATTGCCCATGCCCCATGCCCCATGCCCCATGCCCCATTGCCCATGCCCCATGCCCCATGCCCCATGCCCCATTGCCCATGCCCCATGCCCCATTGCCCATGCCCCATGCCCCATGCCCCATGCCCCATGCCCCATGCCCCATGCCCCATGCCCCATGCCCCATGCCCCATGCCCCATGCCCCATTGCCCATGCCCCATGCCCCATGCCCCATTGCCCATGCCCCATGCCCCATGCCCCATGCCCATGCCCCATGCCCCATTGCCCATGCCCCATGCCCCATGCCCCATGCCCCATTGCCCATGCCCCATGCCCCATGCCCCATGCCCCATTGCCCATGCCCCATGCCCCATTGCCCATGCCCCATGCCCCATGCCCCATGCCCCATGCCCCATGCCCCATGCCCCATGCCCCATGCCCCATGCCCCATTGCCCATGCCCCATGCCCCATGCCCCATGCCCCATGCCCCATGCCCCATGCCCCATTGCCCATGCCCCATGCCCCATGCCCCATGCCCCATGCCCCATGCCCCATGCCCCATTGCCCATGCCCCATGCCCCATGCCCCATGCCCCATTGCCCATGCCCCACGCCCCATTGCCCATGCCCCATGCCCCATGCCCCATGCCCCATGCCCCATGCCCCATGCCCCATTGCCCATGCCCCATGCCCCATGCCCCATGCCCCATTGCCCATGCCCCATGCCCCATTGCCCATGCCCCATGCCCCATGCCCCATGCCCCATGCCCCATGCCCCATGCCCCATGCCCCATGCCCCATGCCCATGCCCCATGCCCCATGCCCCATTGCCCATGCCCCATGCCCCATGCCCCATTGCCCATGCCCCATGCCCCATGCCCCATGCCCCATGCCCCATGCCCCATGCCCCATGCCCCATGCCCCATTGCCCATGCCCCATGCCCCATGCCCCATGCCCCATGCCCCATGCCCCATGCCCCATTGCCCATGCCCCATGCCCCATGCCCCATGCCCCATGCCCCATGCCCCATGCCCCATTGCCCATGCCCCATGCCCCATGCCCCATGCCCCATTGCCCATGCCCCACGCCCCATTGCCCATGCCCCATGCCCCATGCCCCATGCCCCATGCCCCATGCCCCATGCCCCATTGCCCATGCCCCATGCCCCATGCCCCATGCCCCATTGCCCATGCCCCACGCCCCATTGCCCATGCCCCATGCCCCATGCCCCATGCCCCATGCCCCATGCCCCATGCCCCATGCCCCATGCCCAATCCAGATCCGCGAGTCATTCCGCCTGCGTCGCATCATGCAGACCATCCTGTCTCTTGGCAACGCCCTCAATCAAGGCACTGCTCGCGGTATGCCTCTCGTTCACTCACTCACTCACTCACTTGGGCGCTTGCTCTCTCACTCAATCACTCACGCGGGTCCCTCCTGCCTCCTCGCTCCCTCTTACCTTCCCCCTCCCCTCTCTCCCGGCCCCCTCCCTTCCCTTCCCCTCACTCTCCCTCCCCTCTCCGCCCTCATACTGCCCCTCCCTCTCAGCAACATCAAGATGATCTGATCTCTGAGTCAACTCTAAAACCGCCGTCCTCCCCAACCACCTCTCTCCCCTCTTACCTGCCGTCCCTCCCCAACCCCCTCCCCGTCCCCCTTCTTACCTGCTCTGAGCAGGTGCTGCCATGGGGTTCAAGCTGGACAGTCTCCTCAAGCTCATCTCCAACCGTCGTCCCCCCCCCACCCCCCCGACCCCACCCCACCCCACCCCACCGCCCTGAGCAGGTGCTGCCGTGGGGTTCAAGCTGGACAGCCTCCTCAAGCTCACGGACGCCACGACACTCAGGACACGCAACAGCAAGATGAACTGATCGTTGAATCGACTCAAAGACCGCCGTCCCCAAACAAACACCCCTCTCCCCTCTTACCTGCCCCTGAGCAGAAGCTGCAGTGGGGTTCAAGCTGGACAGCCTACTCAAGCCAAATATTTTTTAGAAACCCCACAAATTTCCAGCCGTAATTCCCACCCTCCCCTCCTACCCCCCCTCTCTCCACTCCACCCCACCCCGCCGCCCTGAGCAGGTGCTGCGGTGGGGTTCAAGCTGGACAGCTTAAGCTGTCCCCACACTCATCTCCAACCGTTGTCCCCACCCCCCCCCCCACACCCCACCCCACCCCACCCCACCGCCCTGAGCAGGTGCTGCGGTGGGGTTCAAGCTGGATAGCCTGCTGAAGCTGAAGATTGTTGCGAATCCTCACTCATCTCCAACCGTTGTCCCCACCCCCCCCCCTCACACCCCACCCCACCCCACCCCACCCCACCCTACCGCCCTGAGCAGGTGCTGCAGTGGGGTTCAAGCTGGATAGCCTGCTGAAGCTTACGGACACCAAGACACGCAACAGCAAGATGACTCTCCTGCACTACCTTGCTAAGGTGCGTGCTGCTGCTGCTGCTGCTGCTGCTGCTGCTGCTGCTGCCTGGCCTGATCACCATGAGTATACTCTGTTTTTTTTAGGCTGGCTGCGGCTGCAGGGTTACTCCTTCACACCTCTTTCGAATACATCTGCAGGTTATCTGTGAATTTTCCTGCTCCTTACTTGTAGCTCCTCAGTCTTCCCATTCAGTTCCCACCCCTTTTGTTCACTGCACGCTCACCTCCTTCGCTCCACCCCAGCTGCTGGAGACTTGACGTCTCTCAAGCCTTTGCTGCCCCTCAATCAAGAGCCTCATAGCTGCTTGCTTGTTTCCCTCCCTCCTTCCCTGCCTCCCTCCTTCCCTCCCTCCCTCCCTCCCTCCCTCCCTCCTTCCATGTGTGCATCTCAGGTGCTGGAGACGAAGCTGCCAGAGATAGCCAAGTTCCCATCTGACCTGCCTTCGCTGGAGAAAGCACACAAGGTAAGGGGCTCCTTAGGTTCCTGCAAGGTTAGGACATCCGCTCAGTAGTAGGTTCGAAGTTAAACCTAAGATCAGGTGCCTCAGCAGGGTACCATCCTTGCCCTCCCACCAGCAAGGTTAAATCAGCGACTCATTTGCAACCACTTCTGCTCCCTTTACCTTCCCCTCCTCACCCCACCCCTCCCCCGCTCGCCTCCTGCTCCCCTCCCTCCTCCCTCCCTGCTCCCACCCCGCTCCTCCCTCCCTCTCCCTGTCTCTAACCCCCCTCCTCCCTCCTCCCTCCTCCCTACTCCCTCCTCCCTCCTCCCTCCCCCCTCCTCCCTCCTCCCTCCTCCCTCCTCCCTCCTCCCTCCTCCCTCCTCCCTCCTCCCTCCTCCCTCCTCCCTCCTCCCTCCTCCCACTCTTCCCGCAGGTGCAAGTGAAGCAGCTAGCGGAGGACATGCGGCAGCTGACCAACGACATGGTCATGGCCGAGAAGGACCTCACCTCACTGCCTCGTCTCCGGGCTCTCTTACTCCACTTCCACTGCTGCCTCTCTCTTTGCACCCCCCCTCACACCACAATAACCTACCCTCTCCTCCTCCTCTCCTCCCCTTCCTCCCTCTCCGTTCCCCTCCCCACTCCTCCTCCGTTTCCCTCTCCCTTTCGCCCCACCCCCCTCTCCGTCCTGACCCCGTCCTTCCGTCAGGTGCAAGTGAAGCAGCTAGCGGAGGACATGCGGCAGCTGACCAACGACATGGTCATGGCGGAGAAGGAGCTCACTGCCTGCGGCTCTGATGGGCCCTGCGCCGAGGGCTTCCGGAAGGTGCGACGGGGGTTCAGAGGGCTTAGATTGATGATCCGATCAGAACTGATCCAATCTGATCAGATCAGATCAGATCAGATCAGATCAGATCACTTAGTTTCGGTCACATCAGCTCAGGTCAGACCAGGTCAGGTCATATCAGAGTGAAAGGATCTGTGTTGAAAGTCAAGATCTTCCATTCCACAGCGTGTAAACACTCGAGTCCCTTCCTTCATCCCTGCTTGCACAGGCACTGGGCGCGTTCCTGGAGGAGGCAGCATCAGATGCGAGGCAACTGTCAGCACTCTATGCTGAAACTGTGAGTTTCTTGCTCTTATTTTAGGATGCAAGCAACCCCACCCTCGTGTAGTGAGTCGATTTTTGAGTCGACTCAAAAATCGACTCTATGCTGAAACTGTGAGTTCCGTGCTCCCATCCTAGGATGCAAGCAACCCCACCCTCCTCGCCAGTTGCATCTCCTCATCCTCATCATCCACCTCCACATCATTCACCTTCACCTCCAGTTCTCTCTTCTCTTCTCTTCTCTTCTCTTCTCTTCTCTTCTCTTCTCTTCTCTTCTCTTCTCTTCTCTTCCCATCTTCCTCCACCCCCTTACCTCGCAGCTCCCACCCACCCCCTATCCCCTCCTCCTTCCTGTGCCGCATCTTAGTCTATCTGCTCTTGTTTTCTCAATAAAGAAACGTTTGATACAGTCAGTCACCCTTGCTGTCATTCTCACTCTCATTCTCAATCAATCCTGCTCGCACTCTCGTCCTAATTCTCGTTCCAAATCTCACTCCCATTTTTTTTTCTCATCCCCATTCCCATCCTCATTCTCGTCGTTGTCATTCTAAACCCCGAACTCCTGTTTTCATTCCCATTCTCATTCTCGGTTTGATTCCCATCCTCTCTGTCGTCCTGCAGAGCCGCAGTGCAGAGGCTCTGTCAAAATACTTTGGCGAAGATCCTGCCAAGTGCCCTTTTGAACACGGTGGGTCTCTACGTAGCACACATGCACACGCACACCCACATGCACAAGCACACGCACACGCACGCACACATGCACGTATGCACATGCACACGCACACATGCACGTGCACCCACGCACATGCACACGCTCATGCAAGCACGCACGCGCACCGACATGCGTGCGTGTGGCCCCCCTAACGACCTCGTATCTTTCCTCGCTCCCCTTCTTTCCATCACCGTCCTTCTCTCCACCACCCTGACCCCAACCCTCAGCGTCTCTAATTCTCTTCAACTTTTCATGCAGAACCATAGAATGGCAGTGGACGAAATCAGCAAGCACGTGGAGGCCTTGCATTGCAATCACAAACCCTCTTCTCCTCCCCTCCAAGCTCCCCAATTCGCCCTCCTTCCCATCCACACCACGCCTTCCCTCCCCCACCCACCCCTCCAGTGACTCTGATTCTCTTCAGCTTCATGGAGAACTGCCAGAAGGCCGTGGAACACAACAACAAGCAGGCGGAGGCCTGGCAAACACAAACCGACCTCCACTTCCTCTCCCATCTCCCCGTTTCTCCCTCCTCCCACCCTTTCCCCTCCCCTCCCCTATCCTTCCAGTGACTTTGATTCTCTTTAACTTCATGCAGAACTACAAGAACGCTGTGGAGGACAACAACAAGCACAGGGAGGCCTTGCAATCACAAACCAGACTCCTCTTCCTCTCCCATGTCCCCGTTTCTTTCTCCCTCCTCCCCTACCCCTCCAGTGACTCTGATTCTCTTCAACTTCATGCAGAACTACAAAAAGGCAGTGGAGGACAACAACAAGCAGGTGGAGGCGGAGAGGAAGAGGCTAGAGAGGGAGCTCAAGGCACAGCACAAGGCGGAAAGAGCCCTGCGCCACCCCACCACACCCCGACGAAGCGGCAGCAGCAGCAGCAATGGCAGGAACAACAGTATCGGCGTTCCGAACGGCACCGCCACCACGCCTCGTCGAACCCCGGGAACGCCCAGAGCAGGCAGCACGGGGGGCGCACGTACCCCCCGGGGAGCAGCAGGCAGTGGTGGTGGTGCTGCTGCTCCTGGTTCTGCCGGCACGCCGCGCACTCCCAGAGCCAGCAGCAGCAGCAGCTTTAGACGGAGCACGTCAACCAGCAGTAATGGGGATGGGCGCAGTGGGTCGTTTCGAAGGAGCTCCTCCTCTGCCACCTCTTCTGCAGACTCTCCTGCTACGCCCGGATCTGCTTCTGCTTCTGCTTCCGGTTCTAGTGCTGGTCGAGCTGGGTGTCAGGAAGGCTCTAGGGCAAGTCCAGAGGAGGCAGTGAATGATTCTGCTGCTGGTGCTGCTGAAGGGACAGAGAAACGGGGGACGTCAAGTCCGGAAGGACCAGCAGGAGCATCGGTGGGCCTGCGAAGCAGCAGCAGCAGCGGGAGCAGCAGCAACACTTGCAGCAGCAGTGCCAGCAGCAGCAGGAGCAGCGGCAGCAGCGGCACCAGCAGCAGCAGTAACAGCGGCAGCAGCGGCACCAGCAGCAGCAGTAACAGCGGCAGCAGCGGCACCAGCAGCAGTAGTAGCAGCGGCAGCAGCAACAGCAGCAGCAGTAGCGCAGCATCTGCATCCACACCCCGTTCTTCCCTGGCCCGCACCCCTCGCTCCTCCTCCCTGCGACGAAGCTCAGGGCCAGACGAGTTGTGTGAGGGCAACGGTGGCTATCGGGAAAGTGGCAGCGAGAATAACGGGAGCAGAGGGATTAGGGGAGCTGGGCCTGCTGCTAGCAGTAAGGAGGCGGGACAAGGAGGGAAGACTCCTAGATCTGGGTCGTTCAGAAGGAGCTCTGGAGAGGAAAGTATGGGGCAGCATGGGACGGGACCAGGACGGGGCAGTCAGAGTTGAGGCGTGTCTGTGCTGCTGTGCTGTGCTGCTGTGTGGTGCTGCACGGGAATCAACACGCGCACAGCTGCGATAACAAGACTGGCATGGAAGCTGCTCTGGTGTGAAAGCCGTGAAGTGCTCTCCCTACATTGCGACGGCTCAGCAAGAGGCGACTACCACTAACTACCACTGAGTCACTGACCCATTTACATGGTGGCGGCATGAGACGGCGACTGACTTCTAACTTGCTACACCTGGGATGGATGGCAGCCAATGAGACGCTGTGCTGTGCATTACTGACCGGCATATCTACCTCGACGATTCACCTTGAAGCGTGTTTGTTACTGACCAGCAGCTATTCATCAACAACGCCCATCATTAACCACATGCACCATTGACCCGCTTGACCTGCCCTGCCCTGCACTGCACTGTGTGTTGGGGCTTCGCTTACCCTGGCATACCGTGCCCTGCCCTACCGTGCCCTGCCCTGCCCTGCCTTGGTTTGGACTGGCGTAGCAACTCGCAAGACGACCGGCATAACGGCTGACGTGGTATGGCGAAGTTGGAATGGCATGGCATGGTGGGAGGTTTTCCTCCGATCTGTCTACACATTGTTGGGGCTTTCTCTCGCCTCGTGCTCCCTCTCGCCTCGCTCGCCTTCCTTGCAGGAGCAACCGTGATTTTTGTATTTTGTACAGAGTACCGGCCATCGTTACGGTATGCTCGACAAACTGCACCACCGGTACCACATGGTGTTACTATTACTTACACTCTTCTGTTAAGTTTGTTTAGCACGCGCTCTCCAGACCAGACCAGACTAACCCTGTAACTAGCACCAGTGTCTCGTTGCTTGCCCTCATTTTCCTCCAACGTGTGTATACATACAGTGTGTGTGCACTTTCCTCGTGCATGTGTCCTGCTCATGTGCTGCCTATTCCATCTCCACACGGGGTTTCTATGTATTCAATGCTATACCGTATGTGCACCTTGAACACAAGTTCTATACCGTATGCCAGCTCCTGCACAACAGGTAGAGAAGGCTTGGCTTGCATACCGTATACTCCCGGACAAAACACCCCCCCATAATTGTACACCCCCGGGTAGCTTGTGCGGGGTGGGTGTTATGATAGACCTCGTTTCTACTATACCCCCCTTTTTGGCTGATTTTCTATAACACCCCCCCTTTTCTTACGGATTCATTATTATAGTCGTTAACGAGTAGCTGCAATACGGAAGAATGTCGTGTGAATTTCTCCCTCAATGAAATTTCGCGGTACATTCAAAGGCAATCTGCCGAGATTTGCCCCCTCCCACTATTTCTCTGTCGCCACGTGCAGGTGAATCTTCCGTTGCAAGTGGCAAGAGAGGTGCCACATGCCATTTTCGTGGGGGCGATGAAGTTCGAGGCCGAAACTCACATTCGCGCCTCAGGCAGTGATGCTAAAACGACCAGCAAAACACCCACATTGACTAATTAAAAAAACACTAACACTAAGATATACCATATGTAAAGACCCGGGTATTATGTATTTTTTTCCTATGAGGAGACCCCCCCCATTTTTTCCCTGTATTTTTAGCTATACCCTAGGGTGTTATGTCCGGGAGAATACGGTAAGTTACCCACCCCGAGTGGCTTTCAGTACCATAATAACCCCACCCCACCCCACCCACCGCCATGAACTACCCTGTAGCTCCACAGACCAAACCCTTTACAGTGCTTTCTTGGAATTGAACCCTCTTCAAGCCCTGAATGCATTGCTGGGATAGCAATTGCAACTTTGTTGCAACCTCATCTTGTGCGTCAGGCGCTGTGAGCCTGCCAGGCAGAGAACAAAATCCCTCTTCTGGGTGGTTCTTTCTAACCGAGAACAGTTGATTTCCCTCGTACTTTGATCTTCCCCTTGGATACTACCGTAAAAAGAAAACAGCAGGTGATGGTAAAACGGTTGGTCTCAGCCGGGGTCTCCCTGCCAGACAGTGTGGTGCAAGTGAATTTTTTGTTTTTTTTTTTACGGTACTTCAATGCGGTAATTCCCAAGAGGCAGCAGCAGCTAGTGCGCCAGCATAACAGGCAGAGAGCACCTAGCCCATGTGGTGCGAGTCGAGCATCTTACATTTCTCGGAATTCCCGAAGAACCTACAGGTTACTATCGCAACCGGTGACCGGTCCACCAGCGTATCACGCAGAGAGCAGTTGGCCCATGTGGTGCGAGTCGAATCTCTCAAACCAGTAGTCATCGGGATACTTGATGAACTTTTGAGTTGACTTGAAGGTCGCCAGGCTGTCAATCAGGCAGAGAGCAGTTGGCCCATGTGGTGAGAGTCGAGGATCTCGATCCAGTAGCCATCGGGGTCCTTGATGAACGCCAGGCCCTTCATGCGCCCCTCATCGGGCTTCTTCACAAACTCCACCCCCAGCTTTTCAAACCGCTCGCACGCGCTGTACACGTCGTCCACCATCAGACCGATGTGGCCTGTTAGGGAGGGGATGTGAGGTGATGGGATGGGATGGGATGGGATGTGATGTGACGTGTGATGGGAGGAGAGGCACAGAGAAGTCTTAGAGGCGCCTCTCACGCGCTTTACACATCGTCCACCATCACACCGATGTGGCCTATTGTGAGACAGTGATGTGATGGGTCTTAAAGTCCCTCAAACCACTCACATTCGCTGTGCAAGAGTTTGCAAGAACTTGCAAGAACTTGGATATCACAGCTATGGCAAGAGCTCCTAAACGACGGCCTGCCCTCTCATTCACCCCAGCCCCTCTCACTCACCCCAGCCCCTCTCACTCACCCCAGCCCCTCCCACTCACCCTAGCCCCTCCCACTCACCCCAGCCCCTCTCACTCACCCCAGCCCCTCCCACTCACCCCAGCCCCTCCCACTCACCCCAGCCCCTCCCACTCACCCCAGCCCCTCCCACTCACCCCAGCCCCTCTCACTCACCCCAGCCCCTCTCACTCACCCCAGCCCCTCTCACTCACCCCAGCCCCTCCCACTCACCCCAGCCCCTCCCACTCACCCCAGCCCCTCCCACTCACCCCAGCCCCTCCCACTCACCCCAGCCCCTCCCACTCACCCCAGCCCCTCCCACTCACCCCAGCCCCTCCCACTCACCCCAGCCCCTCCCACTCACCCCAGCCCCTCCCACTCACCCCAGCCCCTCTCACTCACCCCAGCCCCTCTCACTCACCCCAGCCCCTCTCACTCACCCCAGCCCCTCCCACTCACCCCAGCCCCTCCCACTCACCCCAGCCCCTCCCACTCACCCCAGCCCCTCCCACTCACCCCAGCCCCTCCCACTCACCCCAGCCCCTCCCACTCACCCCAGCCCCTGGGGTCGGAGTTGCCATTGTGGTAGCCCTTGAAATCAGGGTCTGACTCCGTGCCCCAGTTGCTGTGCCGTCACATGCGCAGGGTGGGGGAAAGGGGGAAACGGGGAAAGCAAGATGGGGTGAAAGGGGCGAGGGCCTTGCTGCCTGCCCCTTCCGCCCCTCCCACCACTTTCCACCCCTCCCTCCCTCCCTCCCTCCCTCCCTCCCTCCCACCCCTCCCATCATTCCACTATTCAGGAACACGGAATGTCAGCACAAGTAGTCTCTGTAACCTGCCAGTATGAGCATCACTCACCAGCTTGACAAGCCAAGGCAACCCCAAGTACCCCCTCCACCCCCTCCTCCCCCCCTAAGGTTCCCCCAAGTCCTTCCCAAGGCGCCCCAATGCCCCCCAATGGGCCCCCAAGGAACTCTCCCCATCCCATACTGTGTGAGTTCAATGGTGGCCTTGCGAGTAAAGAGCCACTTCACCCTCTCCTCCTCCGTCTTTGGAATCTCCTCCGGTTGCTGTTCGCATGGGGAGTGGGGACAGAAGAGCGTGAGGAGGGAGACGAATAGAGGTACGAGGTCTGATATGCTTACAGGGTGAGGCATGGCAGACAGCGGCATGAGAGGTGTGAGTTGCATCCACCGTTTGAGAGCGACCATAAATTGTATGTATGCAACAATGTGACCAAGGATGATGTGTGCATGACGTCACCTCATATCCCATGAAGTAGAGGGAGAACTTTGCCTCGGGGAAGTCAAGACGCTTTAGCAGTCTGCAATAAGAAACAGCCACGTGGCAACGCAGGAAAAGACTCATGGTCACTCAAGACTGCTGCGGTTCAGCAGGTTGGACAGAAGTGAAAGTAAAAAACACAAACACACGCACGCACGCACGCACGCACGCACGCACGCACGCACGCACGCACGCACGCACGCACGCACGCACGCACGCACGCACGCACGCACGCACGCACGCACGCACGCACGCACGCACGCACGCACGCACGCACGCACGCACGCACGCACGCACGCACGCACGCACGCACGCACGCACGCACGCACGCACGCACGCACGCACGCACGCACGCACGCACGCACGCACGCACGCACGCACGCACGCACGCACGCACGCACGCACGCACGCACGCACGCACGCACGCACGCACGCACGCACGCACGCACGCACACACACAATTAATGTTGGTAGTAATGCCTACACATGACGTCCTCACTGCTTTTTCCAGCCTCTTCACTCATTCGTTTTCACTCTAAAGGCGTTGCATGACACTGCATGCCACTCGCTCGTACCCGCTACCATACCATCCACTGCATACCCGTTCCACTCCACCCACCCACCCACCTCATGCCAAGCACCGAGGAGTAGAAGTGCAGACTAGCCTTGGGGTCCTTGATGCGATACATCTGATGCCATGCCATGCCATAGCACGTCGTGCCATGCCGTGCCGTGTCATGCCATGCCGTGCCATGCAATGCCAACCAAGCCGTGCCATTTCATGCCACGCCATGTTATACCAAGCCACATCACTCCGTAGGAGTGAGGTTGTTGAAAAAGCAGCAAAGAGACAGAAATTCCACATTCTGTGCAGACGATGGGTGAAGTATACAGAAAAAATGAAAAGCAGGGGGGAGGAGGGGACGGACATGCAAGGCACGTGTAGCTGAAATCCAATTGCCACATGTCAGCAGAATGTACCGCCTGATGCATGCAGCAGCGACTCCAGATTCACACCTCGTTTTGAGTAGCGACTAAAAAACGCAAAGCCATTCCTTATCACTGCA